CACCCTTTCCACTACCGCCTTCCTAAAGATCGCACCGCCTAGTCCTCCCGTCCATATTTCTTAGTCTTTGATTGGTAGGATTATGGCCGGCAGAATATGGTGTTAACACTTACGAGGTGTCACTGTAGGCGGTTAGATCACGGATATTTCCGAATGTTCCCGGTAAGATTAAGATAGGCCAAGCTTGTCAAGGTGAATGGAGATTTCATGCATGGATGTGCATTTGGGATTTTCAGGCACGGCACATGCAGGAAGATGGCCCCATTTTGAAACTGCATTTGTCGGTGTATCTGAGCAATCTCGGAGTGTCGGACTTTTAACTCTTGGGAGTGAATGGGCGGCAGTCGAATGGAAGGTCGAAAAAGGCCGAGGGTCCAAGCCCAAGGCATCCTTTTTTATTTGGATGGCGCGATCCAGAGCCTGGTAGATGTCGAGCATTACATGTGCCGCCGCGACTGGTTGAATGCAGCCTTGGTACAGAAGATACTTTATAGATCTCCTTTTTATCATCAAAGTGGAGTTTAAGCTGACGATCAAGTTCTGAAGTACGTATGAAATATCACTCAATGTTGTGTGACTTCGCAGGCATATGTACGTTGACGTTGGTGCATCTTCGGAGATCTTAAATCATGCGGGAAGGACGATCCCGAGGTATGTACTACCTAGGTCCGTACAGCATCACATGGCGTGATGGATAAGATGGGTAATAGACCCTGGAGACCAGGTTAAATTGAGCGATTTCTTTCATGTATGTTATATTATTCAAATTTCCTTCCGGATATAGAATGACTTGCATTCGATAGTAAGGAGACTAAATAGTGATCAAACAGTAACCATGCGTACTCCGTGCTCTGTAGTAGAGGTCTGACTGACATTCATATGATAGCGTTGACGTAAAAGGCCAGACGCTCAACTTGATGTGCCTAACCGGTTAAGATGGTTCTAAGGTTCTTCACAAATCTCTCAAATCCTTTAAAATCCCCCTATTTCTGCTAGTCTCATGGTCTCTCTTTATATGCCAAGCCAGCCTTACTTATCAACCGTGATCCTACCTAGGTAGGTACCGGTATTTCCATTTGAGCTTAGTCAATTCGCATCTCGCCACTGCAGCCTAAAAAAATAATCAATAGGAAAAAAAAGAAAAAGAAAAAGAATAAAAAATCGCCGGAAACGGCACAACTCCACTGAGGACCCAAGAGTCGGACCAGCCTTGCGTATCTGGCCATGTTCCGGTAGATCAGCGATAGAGAAAAACGCAAAAAATACCGGTGTCATACACCTTACCAGACTTGAGATCTCTTTACTCTTCCTTTCTTTCCTCTTCATATTTTTATTCCACCACTTTGTTGATATCTCCGCCCATTGCTGCGGGAAAATTCCCAAATGGCTCTCAGCTTCTTCAGCGGCGGCGGGAGCGCCAGCAGCGCCAAGTACTTCGACATTAGGTGAGTGGGGGAGACCTGCAGCTCATTGTGAACTGCATATCTGACTTCATCCAGGTTGAATGATGAGTATATCGTGTTTCGCGGCGGTGAACATGAAGCCGCCAGTGCGCATCTGCGGGGCACTCTGATCCTCTGTTTGTCCGAGCCGCTCACCATTAAACACCTCCGACTCCAGCTTACGGGCATGTCGCGAGTTTGGTATGTGTCGCATATTCCCCAATTCCAAATAGACACCGCTGACAAGTCCTTTGCACAGCTGGCACCTTCCCTCAAGCGCAGCCGCCGGTGGCCGCAAGTCGTGGCGTGAACGTGTTTTCTACGAGAAAACTTGGAGATTCCGGGACCCGGGCAAAGGAAAAACTGAAGTCCTCCCTGCAGGCAACTATGAGTACCCTTTTGATGTGGTGCTTGAGGGCTCTATGCCCGAGAGTGTGGAAGGTCTTGCCGAGACATGGGTGATGTACCGCTTCAAGGCTGAGATCGGGCGCAAGTACGTCAAGGACATTGTTGCGCGCAAACCGCTCAGGATCATACGGACTTTGGATCCCAGCGCTCTGGAACTATCACATGCAATGGTAAGTGGTGCTTATCGGCCTTATCGGCCTAAGTGATGGACTTTTACTGACAAACTTTCCAGTCTGTGGACAACATCTGGCCCAACAAGATTGAATACTCTATCAGTACTCCGACGAAAGCCATTGTCTTTGGAACCGCCATCCACGTCGATTTCAAATTGATTCCCCTTCTCAAGGGTCTTCGGATCGGTCAAATCACGTCGCAGTTGATCGAAAGCCACGACCTTACCCTCAATCCGGAAGACCCCGATTCTATTCGAAACACATACAAGAACACAAGGACGATCTTGACTGACGAGCATGAGTTGGATGAGGACAATATTGAGATCATCGATGAAACTGCAGAGGGATACCAATGCACACGTGTCCTAGACATGCCGCAGACATTGACCCGCTGTCTGCAGGATACGGACACTAAGGGGATTAAAGTCCGCCACAAGTTGAAGTTCCGTATTCAGCTGCACAACCCCGACGGCCACATCAGCGAGGTGAGTAATTGTAGCACCATTGACCATCCTTCTATTAAACTAACAATTCAATGCAGCTCCGGGCTACTCTTCCAGTTTCGATCTACATCTCACCACACCTTGCCATCGACGACAACAACAACCTTCTTGCGCAAACGCCTCAATCTACTCGAATGGCCGTCGATGAGTTTGCGCACCAGGCGCCTCCCCTTTATGGCGAGCACACGTTCGATCAGCTGTATAGCGAGCTGGATCCCAGCGGTTATCGCACACCAGGTCCCAGCAGTGGTCCAGGCACACCGTTCACTCCGCTCAGTCGCAACATATCGTCAGAGAACCTCGCCTCCATGAACGCCTTGACTAACACCGATATCTCGGCTTCGGCACTGCATCATCGTCTCACAAATCTGAACACAAGTCCGCTCCACAATCCCATCACTCCTGGTACAGCCACTCCTGCCGAGGGACTGCATGGATCTCAATCCCCAACAGACGGATACACCATCCATCGCCAATTGGGTGTCTCTAATGACTACTTCGGACCGGCCTCCGGATCAAACTCACACAGCCATGGCAGTCCAGAACTCTCCCGTCGGCCATCCGACGAAGTGGAGCCCGAAGTCCTTCCCTCGGGCATGGCAACTCCCTTCCATCCCCAGTACGACGAGGTAGAGACTCTCAGCCGGGTTCCGAGTTATTCGACTGCAGTGCGCTGCACGGTCCGTCCCCGTGACTCCGCCCTCCCTGATTACAACGCCGTGATTGCTAGCAGCCTTCCCACGCTACCAGTCCCGCAGTCCCCCCAGCAAGCTCATATCCGCAGCGGCCGTGCAAGTGGAACTGGAACTCCCCTAGAGGTGCCGACTCGCCCCAGCTACTTCAATTCTCGCGGCACCAATGCTGACGATGAGGAACGCAGACTTAGAATTATGCAAGCTCGCGCCAGAGTATGAGATGTGATCATGATCCTTCGATCCACACATGGTCCCCCGCCTTCAATTCCCATCAAAAGTTCTCCTTCTGTACTGGTGCTGGACACTGAGACACCCGCGAATCGCCCTACCCCTTAACCATTCTTCTGCCCTTTTTCTCTCCATTTCTCTTCCCCTCCCACCCACGCCCTTTCCACGAACGATCATGGTCCCCAGCATTAACTACCCTTTCCGAGCCTCAGTCTCTTTAATCTGGAACTTCTCTCGCAGCATTGTTCTGAATCTTTCCACCCGTCCACCAGCAGCAAATTCCCACTTCTTCTTCTGTCTCTTTCCCTTTTTTTCAATCACTTCTTTTTCTCTGGCGTTCGATCATAGACGGGCAGGAATATTTTCATAGATGGTCACGGGTGCTTTGATTTTCCTTCTGCTTTTTTTTTACCTCACGAATGGGATCCGATATGAACGAGCTGCATGACATTGAATTATGCCATCAGCACGAGTCACGATACGAGCCTTTGACGCATGTACTTAATTATTTTTGTCGATTAGAAACTCTCCAATGCTCAACTGATTTGACATCATGGCCCGATTAGGAGATTAGATATCGATCCTATTAGGTAATCGATGGATCTGCGGCCCCGCCGAGCCCGGCCCTGGCAGTGTCCTCTGCTTCTTCCGGTGTCAATGGCATTGTTCGCTTTCAATAGATACAACATTGAGGGGCCATTGGCACATGGCTTTTGCCGCTTTCGATTGCAATTACTTACATTTTATGTTCTTCCCAGGCGCTAGTAGCTAAGCTCTAGTTAGAGTTGAAGCCTATAGTTACCCAGCCCTTGATAGTAAACCACGTAGTCTCGAGTATAGTAACTATATAGCCAAGGTATTATTACGAATTCAAATCAACACGGAATAAGGTTGGAAATAACCTGGATGTTGGGTGGATATAAAGCCACATCTACCGAGTACGATCCAACAAGGTTACAAGTGGCTTGGCTCGAGCGTGGGCGAGGGGCAGTGACCTCATTGGCGTTTGTCGATTGGTTAAGAACACCACTCTCGCCTTGATCATTTTACCCAGAGGTAACCTTAGAAAATATCCCACATCGTGGAAACTGTTCGTCTATTAACTCTGTCTGCTCGTCCTCAAATATGGATATCTGCTAACTAGTCCACCCATAGACTAGCGTTCCCCCACCATCGGCCTTGGCCAGCCACCGCATCCCCCAATTATTTATTTGAGCCATACCATCACTCTTCTGCCCCGGATTTGGCACGGAGAAGATAGCTTCCACTTGGATTGTTACTTGTCGACCCCTTGAATTGGATCCCGGACTCACCAATTTACTTTACCCCGCCGTCTCTCCGCTACCATGTCCACTCCGACTAGCCCCACGGACGTGAAGCTGCCTCAGCGGTCTGGTACCGTGAGCAGCGCCTTCACTCGTCGTACATCCATGAGTGACGATGAGGCCATCCCTGACACCGATAGTAGTGAGGTCTGTATCGTTGATGTCCGAAGAAAAGGAGTAGCTTGAACTGACGGTCTGCTCGTCCCTAGACTACCAATCTCCTGCTTGAGCGTCTCCGAGCCTGGAAGCATATGTGTGGATATCTTGAGGACTACTTCTCTGTTACCGCCAAAGTGCAGAAGTCCCAGTCGAAGGATTATGAAAAGATCCTGAAGGTCAGTGCTTCTTCCTATGGGTCTGGGTGCCCGGGACTGACGAACAGTGGGCATAGGCCGTGAATGAACCCCTCAAGGAGGGCCACCACTTCAGTTCCAGCGCAGGCGGTGTGGCTGGTATGTTTGAGAACCTCCGCAACAACACCCAGGGCATGGTTACCATGTACCTGGACGGCGAAAAGAACCTGAAGAACGCCGTGCTGCCCACCCTCGAGCGTCTCCACAAAGAGATCAAGAACAAGTCCAAGGAGCTGAGCAGCGGTGCCACTAAGGGAGCCAAGGCCGTCGAGAAGGCGCGGACCCTGACCCAGAAGCACATCGAGCTCCTAGGTCAGAACTCCGCTTCCTTTGACGCCGCCGGCTCCGGCAAAATCGAGCAGCACCACGACCCCTACCTCCTCAAGCGCGGCATCAACCACCGTCTGAATAACCAAGTGAACGAGGAGAACAATCACCGCCAGGATATCCTCGCCGTGCAGAACTCCTTCCAGCAGTTCGAAGCACACGTCCTGCAGACCGTGCAAGGCACCATGGACCAATTCCACCAGCACATGAGCGGACAACTCGAGCGCCAGCGAGCCATGTACGCCGACATCCTCGGCACCGCGCAGCGCATTCCACCAGACTTTGAATGGATCAACTTCTGCGTGCGCAACGACGCAGTCCTGGTCAACCCAGACTCGCCACCGCGCTCCTTCTCCAGCATCACCTTCCCGAACATGGACCACCGCTCCACACAGCCGCTGATCGAGGGCTCTCTGGAGCGTCGCTCCCGCGCCGTTATCAAGGGCTACAGCACGGGATACTACGTCGTCACCCCGGCCCGCTACCTGCACGAGTTCAAGGATAACGACGACTTCCGCCGCGACCCTGCCCCGGAGCTCTCGCTGTACCTGCCGGACTGCGTGGTCGGCGCCATTGACGGTGTAAAGTTTAGCGTCAAGGGCAAGGACGTTTCCAGCGGCAAAATCGGTAACGCATTCCACACAAACACCGAGCTCAGCTTCAAGGCCCACACCCCCAATGATGCTGAGAAGTGGTGGTCCGTTATCAAGGACGCTACCCGCGGCCCCGCGCAGCCTGCTGCTGCTGCTGCACCGAACCTCGCTTCTCCCACCGCGACGTCGCCCGCCGCTATCTCTCCTGCTGGCTCTGCTAGCCCCTCCCGCAGCGTGTCCGGCCAGACTCAACCGCCTACCTACGCTGAGAATGAGATGGAGAAGACCCAAGCTGCTCAGGCTACTGCTGCTGCCCCTGTTGCTGCTACCCCTACTGATGCTAGCCCGACTGCGGGAATTAGCCGCACGGGCAGCACGGCGAGCCACTTCCACACCTCGCCCGGTGGCTCCGCTGTGGAGAAATCGTGAGACGATAGCCCTGGAGATTTTTGCCCTCGTTCTCGTTTAGCCATATATTTTCAAGCTCTTTTGGTTTTTTGGACTTGCATCACCCACGCCTATAAATAACGCATGTGCATCTCATCCGTTGATTAGGGTGTAGCGTTCATTCATCCATCCGGAGAGCGAAGCATACCTTGGTCAACTGGATATATACCTCTTAATGAATTTATTTTCGCATTAAAAGCAAGAATCAGATATCAACGCTAACTGGATCGAAGATCCTTTGACTATCAAATACACAAAGCGGGCACAGTTGTGTCGTCGACTCGTATCATAGGCTATGCTGGAAATACACACGGGCATGGGCTAGCTAGGTAGTCCCAGCATACATCAGTGCAGAAATTTTCATTTCCCAAGGTCAGAAATCCTCAGGACTTTCTAGGTCATTCAGCTTCTCCCCCAGGAAGCGTGCTAGCGCAGCGCATTTTGACTCCAGCGCAAGCAAGACAGACGGCGAAGCAGAGAGGTTCAAGCTAGACAGACGCGCAAGATCCACGCTGCGGTCGATCTCAAACTGCGGGTCTCGGTGGCCGTTGTGAGGCGGGTTTGGAGAAATAGGCACGGCAGCCAGTGTGCGCGAGGTATCACCCTGCGAGCCCTCAGGCGTAGAAGTTCCATTACCAGCATCGGTATCAGCTGCGATAGAGTCGGCGTTGGTGGCGCCATTTGGCTCCGGTGCGTCTAGTCTGGATGGGCCGACGGCGGCCACGAGGACTTTATCCGCGATCCGGGTTACCACGGCGACGGAATCGTCAAGTTCGAAGACGATGGAGCCTACGTCGCCTAGCGACATCGACTTGGCCGTCACGTAGGAGGAAGGATGGCTGGCTGGGTTGATGCCCGTCAGGTTGCCGCTTGAGGCTGTCTTCGCGTAGCATGTGTAGGCGGCGCCGTAGGTTGCGCTGAGGTTGCGCAGTTGGCGCGAGGGGAGGGAGGAACCGTGGGCGAAGACGGCGCCGTTTGTTGCGAAGACACTATAAAGAGCTTTGGTTACTAGGTGTGTTTTGCGATGGAAGCGCAAAAGGCATACATGATCGTTGTGATCTCTGGCGGGGATAGGTTATCTTCCAAGAGGTCGCTTAGGGCCTCCGCATCCAGCATCTTGATATCGGGGAGACCGGGAATCATAATGTCGGTGTCGGTGTCGGTGTCTTGCCCTACCGAAGGCGCGTATTCCTCCACCTGGGTGTCGGGTTCCTCCTGTGTTGATGCGCGATGTGTCTCCGCAAGGCAATCTTTTGGTGGTGTCCACGAGCAGTCTTCCGGGAAAAAGAAGCAGTTGTCGCGATAGTCCTCGTCGTCGTGATCGTACTCGATTGGCTCGTCGGAGTAGTCCAATAGGTCCTGAGCACACTTTGTCTCGTAACGAGCCCAGTAAGGCAGGAAGTTCGGTTCGAAGGGAGCTTGGGAGCTAGGTATGGATAGAGTCGTCGAGGAGCAAGAGGATATTGAATCAGAGAAGCCGGGTACTGGAGGAGGTTCGCATTCAGCCATCTTCACACCCATACTCGGCACGCAGAGATTATAACGTGATGTTCGTTTGTTCCCCACGAAATGGGTAAAATTAATGAACAGAGGGCACGAAGGAAGCAGGTAATGTTCTCATACTATGGGCTTGGCCAGGTAGATGACAGGGAATGAGGGGAACACGCAGCGTTTCGGAACCGTTGACTCAATGCGCAGCGCATCCGGGCTCTCTGGTCCAAATGGAAAGTCACGATGATTCCAATCGCGTCCGGTGGTACACAGGAAGAAGCCAGGGAAAAAAGCGCTTTATGAGGTCCAGTCCGAGCAGCATGTCATGAGATGTGTGAGGCTGCTCCGCAATGAGAGCAACCCCGATCGGGCATATATGGACGAAACGTGCACACGAGCAAAGACTTGATTGGGAGATGAAGAGGGGAAGAATAGGTAAAAACCGACAGCTAAGCGCGGCAGTATAGGAAAGTCGATAATTAAAGGGGAGAGACGGCATGCGACACGAAGCCGGGGCGAGCATGGGAGGCCAATGGTAGGAAAGGGATCAACCGGGAGCGGGGGTGAGAGTTTGGAGGATCATGCAAGAGGATTTCCACGAACCTGGTCTTTAAAAGGCGGCAAATCGGGAAATTCGAGGTATTCGCGGTTGGGAGTTTGGAGGTTGAGGAGGTGGGAAAGGACTTGGAGATAAACATTTCGTTGGTGTGGAGTTCCCGCATGACGTTTTGGCACTTCCGGTATATACGGAGTACAATTGCATACTTCCCACCTAATAGTGAATCTTATGTGTAATACTATTGTCCAGATCGAAATCAGGCAATGTCCACATTTCCTATATTCCAATCTATATTATCCTTGCCTATGTTACCTATCCTGACCCATATTATGTATTATATACTTGGGTTCATGCAGTTCTGTTTCAGATCAGCCATACATACTAGGCGCAGGAAGTTATCAAAGATGTTAGACCACATGATAGAATCTAATTGATCTTATTTCTATACAATATACTCCTAATCCTACATATATGTATGTATATGCTATCAAAGCTATATCGTAAAACGTCATGTGCCCCACACTCTCCTCACGGCTGACAAAACCCTCAAAGGGTTTTTGCCCCTCCATCGCCATGTTTGCTCGTCTTTCCTCCGGGGTACTCAAACAAAGATCCTTTGTACCAATCAGTAGGCTCAATTCATAATCAGTTGACGGTCCAATTATTGACAAGTTAGCAGGATCCCTAGCAACCATGGCTTCCGATACCTCCACCTATAAGCTCAACCGTTCGTCCATACTTCAATATCTTTCCACACAATCACTAATACCATGGGGACATTATAGACACGATGATTCGGGTCAAAGACCCGAAGCGATCGGTGGAATTTTACAAATTCCTTGGTCTGAACTTGGTCAACACGATTGACATGCCTGAATGGAAGTTCTGCAACTATTTCCTGGCCTATGACGGCCCCGCTTCTCTCCAGGGTGCCCGTCACTGGACTGATCGTAATGCCGTTCTGGAATTGACTCACAACTACGGCACCGAGAACGACCCCAACTACAGCGTGGCCAACGGAAACACAGAGCCGCACCGTGGTTTCGGCCACATCGCCATCTCGGTTGACAACATTGGAGCCGCCTGCAAGCGCATTGAGGATGCCGGCTACCCCTTCCAGAAAAAATTGACTGAAGGCCGTATGCGACACATCGCCTTCGCCAAGGATCCCGATGGATACTGGGTTGAGATCATTCGTCGTGCCGATGAGGATCTCAGCACCACCACCGACCCGGGTAGCTACCGACTCAACCACACCATGCTGCGCGTGAAGGATGCCGAAGTCAGCTTGAAGTTCTACCAGGAATCCATGGGCATGACTTTGGTCCGCACCATTGAGAACCCAGAGAACAAGTTCAACCTGTATTTCCTGGGATACCCTGCATCTAACCCGGAAATTAAGGAGGGCGCCAAGAATGGTGTGGCAGAGTGGGAAGGTCTGCTAGAGTTGACCTGGAACTATGGCACTGAAAAGCAGGAGGGCCCTGTCTACCACAACGGTAACACTGAGCCCCAGGGTTTCGGTCATATCTGTAAGTGATCACACTTATAGTTGTTCCCCAAGGTTTCTAATTTGAGCTAGGTATCTCTGTTGACGACCTTGAGACTGCGTGCGACCGCTTCGAGTCTCTGAAGGTGAACTTTAAGAAGCGCCTGACTGACGGGCGGATGCACAACATCGCATTTATTCTGGATCCCGATGGATATTGGATTGAGGTGGTGCAGAACCAGGGAATCAAGCGCACTGGAGATTGGTAGTACATAGAAATCCTGTACTCCGTACAAGCCAATACATGTAGATACTCCGAAGTTTGAAAATGCAGAATATCACTTGACCAGAATGGCTTATCCCCCACCATTTCATAGGCTAACGGAGGTGGACCCTCCCCCGCAGAACTTTTCGATCTTGGGAGGACAACTCTTTCGCGATTCAAAAATCTCTCCTTTTTCATCTGTGCACATAGCTAATGGCTTGACAATGAGAATTTCGAGAATTTCAGCCCTTGACGCGGGATGAATTAATGTGATCTCGCCCATTTCGTCTTATTTGCGGGGATTCGTCGCCACTCACTCAAGCCAAAACCCCAGACTTCAGCTTTTGGAAGAATCGTCGAGAACGTGGCCTCGAACTGATAAACGATGTCGCCCGGCCCAGAGAAAGCGAAAAAGACACCCCGTAAACATGTCACCACCGCTTGTGTGCCATGTCGGGAGAGCAAAATCAGGGTATGTGCTCTGAGCTTAGAGGGAAAAACGCCTAAATGGCTTCAAATAATCTAATGTCTCTGCTATCAGTGTGACGGAGCCACTCCCCACTGCCAGAATTGTCAGCGCAAGGGGAAAGAATGCAAATACCAACATGGAGACGACAAGCGCAAGTAAGGACGACTTTTTGCAGCGTTCGAAAGAGACGAAGCAGCCCTCATAGACATAGTCATCGGGTGATGTTCAAAGGCTAATATGAAACAGAGTGTCTCTTCGAGCATCAACAGAGCTGTTCTCGGCTCGAATTGACCAGCTTTGTCATTTCATCAAGGAGCAGGGGCTCGAGCCACCGCCAATGAACGCAGAGGATGAGGCTGGCATGAACAGGGTGTTAGACACCCTCCAGATCCCGCGCGGATTCCCTCAAGTCTCAGCGGTGGCCGATGAAAAGCGACCACCGGACGAGCCAACAGCCTCTGGGGTCTCAAGTAAATCTCCATCCCAAGATCCGCCTACCGTAAATCCCAAGGGACAATCTCCGAGCACCAATCCGGTTGCTTCTGGTGCATCCCCAGCGCAAGATACTGCGTCGAGTGGAAAGTTCCCGTCTCCTGAGGGCTGGAATCCTTTTGGAATGGTACCGGGCGCTTCGGACAATCAAAGCTTTGTCCACTGGGGCTTCACTTTGCCAACAGCTGAAAGTTTGGACACGATTTACGCCAATCTCAACGGAGGGCCGAGAGCACCTGCAATGCCTAGAATCCCCGTCAACACAGAAATGAGCCCGGATAGCTACCAGCTTGGCATGGACATGGCCCAACAGACGGGGAGTCTGCTAGGCCAGCTAACCCATGGGGGAGAAAATGATTCAGAAAGCGGCGAAGAGGACGAAGCTGAAAATGACGTTATTGAACAATTGTCGCACCGAATTGGCACTTTGAAAATTGCGGGTGATGGCCATCTGCGATTCTACGGTGCCACGTCCAACCTCAATCTGGTGGACGTGTCTGCGACACAGCAGCGGCAGCGACCAGACGCGCGGACTGTGCGCCACGATGGTCAGGATATTCTGAACCACCTCCGGGTTGGTCAACCTGTTGATCAAGCCTTGGAGGATCATCTCGTGGAGCTATATTTCACGTGGCAAAACCCCAGTACATACATTGTCGACAAAGAGATGTTCATGACGGCACGGACTAAATGGCGCAATGAGCTCGACGATACTCCATTCTACTCGGAGGTTCTAACTAATGCGATGTGAGTTCAGCTTCATTTTTCGGTACTCGAAGGATTTGCTAACTTGTTGTAGGTGTGCGATTGGTAGTGCTTTTGAGGCACGCTATCACCCCACATTCATCACTTTCCCAAAGTCTCTCGCTGAGTTCTTCGCGGATCGTGCCAAGGCCCTTCTGGAAATTGAACTCGATTCTCCTTGTGTTGCTACTGTCCAAGCCCTTGTCATCATGAGCTGCCACGAAGGCGCATCAAATCGCGATGCTCGAGGTTGGCTGTATAGCGGTAAGTATATATTTTTACAGATGGGAAACGATCGACGCTCATTGTTTAATTGCTCTGTAGGAATGTCTATGCGACTTGCTTTCGATCTCGGGTTACACTTAGATATGACGGCGTACGTCAACAAGGGCGAAATCACCCAGCTTGAGGCCGATGTACGCCGTGCAACCTTTTGGGGAAGCTATGTCGCAGACCAGTGAGTTCGGGACTCTTTATACCATGAGTTTCTCTAACATGAACTAGTTTCTGGGGTTTCTACTTAGGTCGCCCGTTCCGCATGAACGCTGGAGACATAGGTGTTCCCAAACCCGGCTCTGCCCTTTGCCCCGAAAAGGAAGAAAACTGGCATCCATACGGCCATCAAGCTGCCCACGCCCTATCCCGGAACGGTCTGAGGAACCCCATGGAACTCATATGCAGGCAATTTGTCGTCCTATGGGAGATGATAACCCCTGTTGGTCATATTTTGTATGTGACCTTCTCATGCCATTCAGTACAATGCTAACATGGCTCTAGGTATGGATGCTCCGACATCTCTCGGCACGACTTGCAAAGAATCTGCTATCAAGTGACGGAAGATCTGTTCGCCTGGAAAGCCAATCTTCCTTCTACCCTTCAGGTTGATCTAGATGATGATACATCACCGATACTGCCTCATTTGATGATGCTCCAGTAAGTTTGTTCCAATACAATAGACACGCGGGATCATACTAACCATCTCTTACAGTATGCAATACCATCAGATCATCATTTTCTTCCACCGCCCATGGCTCTCCAAAAGCTATATCCAGCCCCGCAGCCCTCGTCAAGGCCCCGGGTATCACCATGCGCGGCGCATGTGTGTGGAGTCAGCCACCGCCATCGCACGCCTACTCCAACTCTTCGAGAAACACTACACCTTCCGCCGGATGAACAACCAAGTCGTAGCGATAATCTTCAGCGCAGCGCTCATGCTTCTGTTCGTAACAGTGTCCAGCTCCCCGATGAGCCCGGGCAAACAGGGCGACAGCCCGACATACCCGCGCAGCACGGAAATGGTAGCATATCTGAATCTGTGCTTCCGGGCTCTTGATGAACTGGGTCAATCATTTGACAATGCCAAGCGCACCCGTGACTACCTCGTTACCCTGCAACGACGTTGGCAAGCAAACATGCGCCGATCCGGCTCCGCGACGAAACGCCAAAACAGCAGTGCTAACTTGGCGTCTCTGGGCTCGCAGAAGCCGTCTGCACAGCATACCCGTGCTACCACCGCTCACGATATAGATGGCTCTCGCAAGAAATCTCGTTTATCTGTTTCCGGGGTCCCTCCCAATGTGCAGTCAACAGCACCTGTGACAACCAACCAATACTCCCGCCTCCCTCAGCAGACCATGCCTCATCATCAGCAATATCATCAGCAGAGCCCTTATCAACAGCAAGCCCCCTTCCCCGTCCCAGTTCCCGACTCCCAGCTAGGCGATCTAGACTGGATCCCTAACTCAGACATGCGACTTTTGCCCGAGACTCAAAACGGCAACTCTCTAAATGACATGGGTCAGATCCCTTCTCCTCCCTTCCCAGAGGACCCAAGCATGCTCTCGGACATCGCGAACATCGATGGATGGTGGGCATCGGAAAACTATACGAGGACCTCAATGCCACCATGAAATGATTATTGGGTAACTAGTCACAGTGTTATTTTGTCTGCTTGTCTGAAGACTCACAACATTGGAGATCGTACTGAGTTGATCGAGTCCATCGAACTCGCCAGACCCTGCCACTTGGAAGAGATAGAGTGAACATTCTATGATCGAATGACATATATCGCCCCAGGTAGTGGAAGGCGTCCACCCGTGGACATAGATGTATCATTATTCCACATTTCGAAATGGGGCCTTTATAATCCCTCGCATACGCAATTCCACATGTAAATTCGATGTTATATTTATTGCAACCAATTTTAATCTATCTCCATTGTTCCTTGAAACACATTCTTGAACCAGTCGCCCACTTCTTCTCCCGCATTATTACCAGTACTCTGAAGCAGAGATAAAGTAACCCTCCGCTCCCCAACCCCCTTCTCCCGACCCCAAAAGCAAGCCCGCCGCATAGCAGAGACCATTTCATCAGCCTGTCTAGCAAGAACCGTAGACCCATGAAACCCCTCTCTAGTCTTCTTCTTCATCTCGATCGACGAGGAGAGAGAACAAGCAGCCAAACCAGCACCATCTTCCCTCGTAAACACCCGAATCCAAGGTAAAGCCATCTGCAACCGCCCAATCCCATCTCCAGGCCCAGACCACGTATTCCCTCTAAGCCCATAATCCAGACCATACGGCGGCCAGCGCGAAAGTGCCTTCCGACGCCGGGTAACAGTAGCGCCAATAACATCGACATCGTCGGCATCCATATCCGGATACATATCTCGATCCCAGATCGACTCATCCGATGATGCGTATTGCTCCGCGGCTGTCGTGCTCCGCGTCTCCTTTAGCACGGGGACTGGATACTCCGGCCCCGTGAGATACTGCGAGAACCTGCGCGGCACATCCCGGCCTGCGGAGCGGAGGAAGAGGATTGGCGAGGCGAAAGAGTCGAAGCAGCGCTCTGGGGTTAAGAAGAATTCTGAGCGGGCTTGGAGGAGCGGAACTAGGTCTGGTGGGGGTGGGTTCTTTTTTCTGGGTTGGCGTTTATGTTTGGATGGTTTTGTTGAGCTTAGAGTGGTATTGTCACCTGCTTCTGTTTTGCGGGTTGGGATGGTGCTTTCGCGCGTGCAGTACTCATCCAAACCGGGCCAGTCGCAAATGGGATCTACGGCGGCGACGGCGCGGACGGATTGCGCTTCTGTTAGAGCTAGCATGAGAGCTAGGGAGCCTCCGACGTGTGTGCCGAAGATGGCTAGTTTGGATGGTCGGAGGTGGGTTTGGATCCAGTCGAATCCGGCCAGTGTGTCGTGGACAGGGGTTGGGTATTTGTAAGAGGTGAGTTGCGGGTTGCTTGATCCCAGGGGTTGGTCTGGGGCTTCAATCGGCTCTTGCGAGATCGAGCTTTTATCTGTCGATGGGGGAATATGTGTTTGCATCTCCCCGAGGCGGTAGTTGACTGTGACTACCAATGCAGATGCAGTGGATGCTAAGACCTGCTGGGGCGAACATGTTGCAGAGGCCAAGGTGATGGTATCTCCAGTTCTTCGGTGATCAACTTCAATGTTTTCGTATTTTTGAGACGTGCTCGTGCCATTTTGCAGTAACAAAGGTCCAGCCGGAAGGTAGAGGATTACATTTGGGCCTTCTGGAGACAGCCCCTGGTGAGACCGGCTCAACGCGCTCGGTCGCGTAATTCTGGGGATGAAGTTAGCGTGTGTAACTAGGGCTCATTGGGAAAGTAATCTATTACTTGAGAGATATTGCCCCATTGTTTCCAATAGGAAGGCAAATTGTCTCCTCTGTACAATCAGATGAAACGGTCGAATATCGCGTTCGGAAACACGCGACGGAGATGCGGGTAGCCCCTCTGCGACACAGTAAAAGGGCTATACCGGACGAGTAGATAGCACCTCGCATAGCTCAGAGCATGCACTTGATGTTTGATAGAACTGGACGAGGATCAGGCTGTTTATCCGAAAGTAATTGATCCGAGACCCCACTATTTGGCTTTCCTCGAGAATATGGCTTTTGACAAATTTGAAACGAATTTATACTGTGTCATAAAGTATATAGCTAGTTAATGATACAATGAGCTTCTTTTCGGTCAGCTCTGAAACAAAGCATCAAAACATTTACATTTCCATCATGTCTTCAATTGATGCAAAAGTACCAAGGGGAGGAAGTTGAGGTGACATCTGCTGGCGAGAGTTCCGAGCAGAAGGACTACTCGCCAAACTTGATCGCGCAGGCGAAGCACAAGTTTTCATCCCTTCAAGGATGGAGGAAGCGAGCATATTGGCAATCGGTTGCCATCCTTCACGTTGCGCTTGTAGGAAAACAAGCGTAGACTGACCATTCATATCTATTTGATAGAATGTGAAGATCTCTCTGTCGCTGAGCACGCCGTATACGGTCCAGTCGGACTGGCCGCGTTTCTTCCGACTCGCCTGCACCACTGCCATGTATGCCAAAGTTAGCCATGGCCCTCTCTACCAATTTATTTGGCTTCAATCATCACGACATGACAAGCCAGGTGGTCCCTCTCCCCGAAAAAGGCTGCAATCCGCCCAGCACAGATATGTGGCTCGTCTTTGTATATAATCGGGCCCCAACACACGGTTATTTCATGGGAGAGTGTTATAGGAGGTCCGTTTAGTAGGTTTTGTGTGGAGAGCGCTTGATAACAATGTTTATCAAGACATCGAGTTTATAGCGCTCCCGGGTTTCTATGGGCTTCGCGAGGGTGCGCACTGATTATAGGTAGTTAGTAGAAATCCAAGGTATAACGAGTGGATTTACACTCTCTGTACCAACGTGCCGTTCTAGTGACGCAGTCTGCATGCCCGCGTCGCGCGGGTTGAGGATGCTGTCTGGGTAGCGTAGTCAGCGGACCGAGATGGGATGCGTGTAGGTGCACGCCAAGCGAGCCTCACTAGCCAGTAGGAGCGGCCTGTGAAAGATGGTCGTCGTACCGCAGTAGCTGCCTGAGGGCCTGATACGGTGCGCTGGCGCGGGGTGGCTGGGTCTGGAGCAGGCTGGGCCACTTGATCTTGCGAGGTAGAGCATGTGGATGTCGCAGCAGAGCTGGTCTCCCGCTGTCTCGGTCTCCCTAGTGGGCATGGGGGCTCTGCGGCGGGTGGTAGAAGGAAGTCGGGTTCTGATTGTAGGTGGCCAGTCAGCTTGATGAAGTCTTTGACGGCCCTATTCAGGACGGATCTGCTGATCGGCCAGCCCGGTCGATGGGGGTCGTCGTGGGAGGGAAGGAGCGGCGGAACTGGTTAGCGCGAAAGTAGCAAGCGCAGCGAGCGATAGGCCGTTGGATGATAAAGTTCATTACAGTTGGAGTGTTATAGCATTCTATTTTCTGCATCATTCTTTAACCCAACAGCCGAGGACTAAGCATTGTGCGCGAATATCAATTTTGGTCTCTCTACAATTTGAATGAAACAAAATACCGTATGAGCGAGCCATGCTATATAGGTAGCTGACTGCTCCAAGAGTCCCTCCACGAATAAGTGTCTCGCCGAGAGGTAGTCGCTGACGCCGCAGGGTCGTCTCGGTCCAGAGGAGCTTCAGTATCATCCTCTGGCACAGGACGCACAACCTGCAAACTCAACATCGGATCCTTGGAGTAAACCCGCAGGCCGACCACACAGACGGCATTCCACGGGTCAACAGCAGGCTCATCATGGCCCATTGATGGAGGGTGGTTCTTCACATCCGCCTCGTCAGGAGGCATATCGAGATCGCTGTCAAATTCGAACCCTTCTAGTAAATCGAGATCAGTCGGGTCCAGAGCCTCTGTAGCAAACCGAGCGTCTAGACTGGGACGTGGCGAGTCGGCTCCACGTCGCCAGCCGCTGCTTGCGCGTCTTGCGTGTCTTTCGTGCAGGCCCTGGCCGCCATTGACGTGGATGATCGGGACGGAACCGTTGACACGGCGGTCACCGCTTTCGCTCGACATGCTTCCAGCATCTATGGGGGATTCTGCCACTTGTTTCTCTGTCAGAATTTGGCTGGGGAGACAATCGCGTTCGGGGTTGTGATCGTAGGAGCTGCCGCTGCCGCTGGGGGTGCGGCACCCGCGCCTTGCTTCCATGCGCTCTTGTCGGGCATTTAGCTTCTGATTGCGGATCCAGTCCTTCTGCATCTTTTTCTTAATGTCGTCACGAAGCTTTCTTCGCTCAGCTGCCTTGAAAAGCTCCTGCTCCCGCTTTTCCTGCTCTGTCTCGCCCACCAGTCCCTTGGCATGCGCGAGGTCGTATGAAAGGCCAACTTGCACCAGTTTCTCTCTTCTTGTCGAGGCAACCTGGCGGACGATTTCCTCGGTTGAATCTACGTCTTCGTGGCGGAAGGCTGTGATTTTCATCAGGACATGATAGCGACCCGGGTCAAGGTTAATCTCGGCGTTAACAGATCGGCCCATGAAGTGGCTGCTATGGCTGCGCACGAGATAATCCCGTTCGCCTTCCTTCTGCAGGCGGAACTTGAGCACGAAGCTGTACTCGCCGGCTAGTCCTTTGAAATAGCGCGCATCGAGCTGTGTCTGTGAGCCACTGCACAAGAGCAGGATTAAATGGCGTAAAACGAACCTGGGACAGGACAATGACTACTGGACCACTGGTAGTCACATCCATCATGAATTTAGTGCTGTGATAATCAGCTGACCAGGGAACATTCAAGGTAGTCCATTGCTGGGTAATAGTCCATTCAGGGCCAAAAAGGCGAGTCCGATCGAAGTGCTGGTATTTCCTGAGGAGGTCTTTATAAGAGATCCAGAAGAACTGAGCCAGGTCAGCGTGTTCCGTGGAATCACCATGGATGAATACCTACACCATCGTTGCCAAATTTATGGCCAAGAGTTTTCATCCACTCCGGCGTCCATTCTTTGGATCCATCACCCCAGGCACCATGCCATTCTTTGCGACCCCATGGGTTCCTTAGATTCGTGAGTTTTTCATTCATTTGCCTTTGCCTAGCACATTCATGCACGTACCTGAGTCGCAGTAGCCGATGCCCGTCAATCTCCCGGGCTTCCATGATGGAATAGGAGTGGCCCTCTGAGATACCCTTTCGATCCCTCGGTGGACCCCGGTACTTAGGATCCAACCAGTTTGAAAACAGGCCCGTCCCGCAACCAAAGAGGAATTCCTTGTTGACCTTCATAATTTCCTCGGTCCAAAAGCGGTCCTTGTTCAGGATATTGCTGGACAAGACCTCAGACGTGACGCCTCCGGTGAGATCCTCGATAGCTTCACCAACAAAGCCACCCTCGATGGCAGAATAGTCCCCGTGGGCCTTTGCAAAGGCTTTCTCCAGAAGGGGTAGCCAGGTCTCGTTTTCGTCGACGCACTGGGCGAAGTAGAGGGCCCGCGAGCCTGTCTGCCAGACTCGCCGGTACTCTTCCTCCGTATCAGTCCGATTTATGTCGTCCCAGATGGGTCGCTCTTCCACAGACTCATCATAGTCAGCAGCGCGTAGATAGAGCTTGTCATCTACAATGCACTGCTGCCACTCGCCGTCTGGTGATTGTAGTCAAATCAGCATGATTCCGAGTCACATCGGACCTCGAGCACGCGCTTACCTCGATGGAAAACAAACCCATAAATCCCAACCTCTTCATTGCGAGCAACACAAATCTTCTCGATCAGCTCCTCCTTATTGCCCATAGTACAAAGCGCAGCCATGAGCCAGCAATCTCCATCATATCCCTGCCGCACATCTGACGCGGTAGGCCCATTAACAAAGAACTGCGGATTCTCAAAGATTTCCTACATGAGAATCATTAGCAACCCACAGTCTGACTGACCCATGGCAGACGGTTTTCGAACTAACGGTCACTCTCTTCACGCCCCGAGGTCTCATCTCCGTATTCGGTTTATCCAATCCATCGAGATAGTGTCTCCGACCAGACTTCAGGTCTAGCTCGATATCGAAGTGCGGGTCCGAGTATCTCTGATTCACACGCTCACATTCCTTGACAATACGGTCGACAGACTTTTGACATTCGCGCCGCGCCTGCTCGTACGATTTGACGGCCTCGTGGCCCCGAACACGGCCGCTGGGAACATGTTTCGCCCGCGTCCGTGCGTAGGGATTGTCCGGCAGCACCGTGTATACTTTACCCGGGTACTTCGTGTTGAATTGTTCCCAGAACTGCTTGACAGATTCCTGGGGTGCTTGAGAGCGTGCGCGGGGTGGCCGGCTGTTTGAGCGCGAGGAGCCTGGTCCTGCTACGCCATAGCCCATC